TGTTGTGCATATATTGTTGTATGTTTATTACCAAAAAAAAATAGCGCAATAATCATTAATTATCAATTTCGTCATTAAATACTTCACCAAATACAAAATAGGTAACACCATTAAATTTCTTGTAAAAAACTGGTAATTATGAAGTTATTTTAAAATTTGTAAGTTCAACCGTTTTGGTTTCCTGTAGCGACCAAAATAAACAAATAAACAAACTTCCTCTTTTATATATAGATATTTATTTGACATCGTTAAGTACTCGGATTATAGAGTTATGGTCTATGGAACACAAATCACTAACAATTATATTTGATGCAGTGTTTACTTAAGCTTTTATGCAGTAAAGACAAACTGCAAATACGACTATATGATACTTGAAGTTAACTAATTAGAAAAAAAAGAAATTTATTGTTTCTGATTGCTTGTACAAATATCTTTCTGTTGTTTACTCTGTAACTTTAATGAGAAGAATCAAAATGGCAGTTACCTCAGGATAAATATAGAAGGTGGCTATTATTGGTTCTGAGATATGACAATTATTCATGACACAAGTTCGAAGATATAAATAAATAACTAAATTTCATGTCCCACTTGTTCCGTGTGAAAAAACTTGTAGCAAACATTTCCTTGAAACTTTCGTTGCTGTTTTCTGTAATTGCTTATCTTTTTTTTATAATTATTTTGTTTTTTAAAATAAAACTAACTACAAATTAACGCTTGTATTCTTCCTAGATATTACGTTTGGTAGCGCATAATTACTGAAACTAGGACATCGTATTTCAGTTTTCTGCATAATATACTAGTACTAAACTTGTGTGAGGTCACACCCTAGGGGTCTTAACAATGTTTTCAAGGTTCTTATAATTGTATATTATCAACATAGATTGACTGATGCGATTTGTTATTAATTGAGGGCTCAACTAACTGTGTCATGGATATTGTTAGGTGCCTAAATTAATCTGTTTTTCAGATCAACAGCTTTTATATTTATTTATTTTTGTTGATAAAAGTTTAAGGTAGATCAAGGAAAAGATTGTATGGCAATTTTATAGTTTTATTTTGAGAAGGATATCAGTTTCTGATCATTTGTTCACCAGAGTACTCGTCAAAAGATATAACTAGCACTTTCTACATTTCTGTCTGCACTTATTCAGCGTAATCTAGGGAAAAGCAAGCTTTAGAAATATTATTAATTTAAACAATGAACTGCATTTCGTGAATGAGATGTTAAATGTTATAAGTCTGCATCCGTACAAATTCAAAGTAACATATGATAACCATGATAAAATACATTGTTTGTTTCTGTCTAAATGGTTTTTCTTCTGTAGACTGTAAATCGGATGGTTTATATAATTAACCAATAATATGAAATCTACAGCTTATCCATGTCCTCCGATGGGTCAGCGTTAAGTTTACGGACTTACAACGGTAAAATCCGAAGTTCGATTACTTACGATGGACACAGCAGAGAGCCCAGTGTGGCTTTGCTCTAAAACAAAGGAACAAACAACCTTATCCAATATCTTTATTCAAAATCTTGGTTTGAATGAGCCACATCAGCACAATAACCACAGACAGTTTGTTGACTTTAGTTTGCAGTAATGCTGAACAGTAGATGATCAGATGGTTTGTTGATTGTAGTTTGCAGTAATGATGAACAGTAGATGATCAGATGGTTTGTTGATTGTACTTTGCAGGAATGCTGAACAGTGGATGATCAGACGGTTTGCTGATTGTAGTTTGCAGGAATGCTGAACAAGTAGATGATCAGATGGTTTGTTGATTGTAGTTTGCAGGAATGATGAACAAATAGATGACCAGATGGTTTGTTGATTGTAGTTTGCAGGAATGCTGAACAAGTAGATGATCAGATGGTTTGTTGATTGTAGTTTGCAAGAATGCTGAACAGTAGATGATCAGATGGTTTGTTGATTGTAGTTTGCATGAATGCTGAACAGTAGATGATCAGATGGTTTGCTGATTGTAGTTTGCAGGAATGCTGAACAAGTAGATGATCAGATGGTTTGCTGATTATAGTTTGCAGGAATGCTGAACAAGTAGATAATAAGATGGTTTGCTGATTGTAGTTTGCAGCAATGCTGAACAAGTAGACGATCAGATGGTTTGTTGATTGTAGTTTGCAGGAATGCTGAACAGTAGATGATCAGATGGTTTGCTGATTGTAGTTTGCAGGAATGCTGAACAGTAGATTATCAGATGGTCTGTTGATTGCAGTTGTGCAAGAATGCTGAACAGATTATAAAGCTAGTTGATAAGAACTGTATAGCTAAAACAAGAGGTGAGGATGTTTCACGTTTAAACAGATGCTAAAGCTTAATTGGCACAAACGTTCTTCATATAAAACAATATAAAAAACGAGCTTTTCCATTCCATGTGTATCACTCATAGGATACAGTACTGATACATCTTAACCCTCCCTTTCTTGGACCTGTAATGTCTTTGTTTTTGCGTCTTTTGCCCATTCACTGATGTACAAGTACATACTAAACTAACGATGAAGTAATTCCATTTTGTATTAAATCATCGAAATAAAATTGTTTGTTATTCCCATGCATTTTTCTCATAAGTTAAAAGTAGTTTTAAAACAATGGACACCATCAGGAATCACTGCGTTTTTCCATATAGTTTAGTGAACAATAATTAATTAGCCTTATAAAAATGATCTGGAACTAGCAAGCGATTTGGGCTAAGAACTCGGGAGTTTGAGTGTTGTACTGCAGTCTGCGACCATTTTTTTTTTCATCTAAAATTTACGCAAAACATGTTAATGACTAATATTATCTGTTTTTCAAAGTTAGTTAGCTCATTGCTTAACAAGCAACCAATCAATCAACCAGAACTAGGCTGGGATCTTGTGTACGTGAGGAGTGGATGTTTTTTCAGCTTTATAACTGCTGCTAGTCTAACAGTATCTATATATAAAAGTAGAACAAATTGTTTGCTTGTCCGGGAACTACTCCGTGGTCTTTCTACCAAACTTAGTACAATAATACACTGAATCAAGAGGCGTGTCCTACACTGGACCAAGGCCCTTTCACCTTGTACAACGCCAGCAACAAAAATGTCACTTTAGATAATAATTCCCCTGTCTTTAAACCAATTTTTATTCCTAAATTCTTTATTTTTTTTTAGTTTTTTTCTTGAAAATTGTTTTGTGTTTTCTTGAAACATTTTGAGTTATTTCGTTAAAAATATCAACAATCACATTTTGTTCAGAGAAAATGTGAACGAAAGCACAAGGTCAGGCCCTTAAAGTGACAAGACTATATTCAAACTCCCCCTCCCCTCCACATACTATGTCGGGTGTTCAAGAATAGGAACACCAACAAACCTCTTTATTTTGGACCAGAAATAAAGTAAGAACTTCTAATGTGGTCCATCGAGAATCAATCAACAAACAGTGAGGCTGTAGAGAGTGTTTAGTAAAAGTCAAGTCAAGTAAAGCAACTGTAATACCATTTATGTAATGTAGAATAAAGTAGGTGTGAAATAAAGTAGTTGTAAGGAAAATTTTGTGTGAAATAAATTATGCATATAAATACAAGTTCTTGAATTATTTATTTTTTGTTGAAGCCCTACTACATCCACTCCTACAACGTAGGACGGGTGCCTCAGCTTGAGATTAATAATGACAACACTAAAATTAATGAATGAAAATATTAATAATGTTAGATTTTTTTAAAGATGTTTTATGTTTTCTAAATACTAACATCAAGGAATGAAAGCAGCGTAGTGACTCTCACTAGGGGCACAAAAGGAATACTAAAGTCAGGATATTTTGAAAGCTTTTTACCTATAATTAGTTAATTAAGCTGAATATTTTGATACGTTTTACGTCTCAAAATCTCGAAATGACGATGTTAAACTTTTACTGAAAACATACGACAAAGAAATAAATCTTCAAGTTAAAATATTCTGGGTACTTCCGTCCTCATTTACAGAAAATTCTCGAATTGTACATAATGTAACAGGGATTTACAGGAACTAGGTCTCAAATGACTCTGTTTCGCAAGATTTTACCCCTCAATATTCAATATTTAAAATACCAATTAAAGTATTTGCCGCCTCAATTTCAAGACCCAAAATTTAAAATACTAATTAAAATATTTCCCGTGTTTCAAAATGTTCTCCCCTTAAATTTCAATATTCAAAATTTCAAATAGCAATTTTGAAGAGCCTTATGGGAGCCTTTTGTTAGCCTGGACCCTGGGACAGCTGTCTCACCTATCACTACACCAGTGATTTAAATCTGTGAGGTAGTTTATGTTAATACGCTTGGGCATACTAATATTTTCGATTTAGAATCAACGAGTTCTTTCTCCTGTGCAGCCTTACTCAAAAACTCTCAAAATGTTTAGTCTAACAAACATACAGCTAGTGTACAAAATATCAATTTTTAGTTGGTTTGACGTAGAATAGCTAGTAATATAAGGCGTAGCTATAAATATCTGAAGAACTGACAAAAACCACCAGAACAGTGCTTTACAGATACGCACTGTCATGCGCACATTTTTTTATTTCGCTTGTTTGACCGAACCAGGCTTGTATTATCAGTCTCGAATCGTAAAGGCGACGTGTTGTTGATAAGTGTTCCCTTTTATCAGCTTCACGTGAAACAGCTTGAGCATACGTTCAATCTCAAGTTAAGATCACGGAAACATAGTACGTTACCGAACTATAGGAGCATACAATCAGTTTTCACTTCTGCAGACGAATGACACAACTCTCTTTGTGCTGAGCCTAATATGCCAAAAGTCTTATAGTTTATTTGCTAACGTCTAAACCCGAGTTTACTAGCATTTTAAAGAAAAGAGACTGACATTTTGGACGTCAAAGAATGGAGTTCATCACTATAATTGGGAAAGCGTGGGGAACGATTCTTCAGGCTCTAATAGCAAGAATTTATTTTATTATTCGAATCATACTCCCATCACCCAGAAAATGTATCGAAGGAGACGTGGTATTGATCACGGGGTCTGGACATGGACTAGGTCGTCAGTTGGCAATCTTGTCCGCTAACCTGGGGGCTACTGTTGTGTTATGGGATATACAGAAGGTATTTAGCATATGTTTGCTCTCTTTGTTTGGTTATTTTTTTATATAAGATATGAAAATATGACACCAAAACATATTGGAGAATGGAGTGAAAATAAGCATACAACTACCTCATAAAAATATCACAGCCAACTGAGATATTAAAAGGTTAACCTGATAATTCTGATATCTATAAATTAAAGTGTCGTTAGTTATAATTATATAAATATAACAAAACACTCGTTATTCTCCTCTTTCTTAATTTTTAGGCCGGTTTATTGACTTCAAATGCCACTCTGCAGGATATAATTTTACAGAAAATCTATAAAAAAACATTCAAATGCCGTTTTTCAATTAAACATAAATAAACTAAATTAAATTCATATACTTTCCAAATGTGCAAACATATAATACACTCCTTGTATAAATTAAGTACATTAAAAATGTTCAAAATGAATAAAATTAGTTCAAGTTTATCCAATGCACATTCCTTTTTAATTATAATCTTATTCTTGTTATACTTTCTCTTGTTACTATAGAAATGCAGCTTATTCTATAATCTTTATTGTTCCTATTGTAGTTCTTAGTAGCAGTTTCTACGGTTTCACAATTCTCTTGTTACTATAGAAACGCAGTTTATTTTATAATCTTTATTGTCCTTTTTGTAACTCTTTATTTATTCTCTGAATTTAATAATCCTAACGATAAATGTATGGACTTCAATACACCTACATTATCCTAGTTATCTAAACTGGTCACATATAAAGCTTTAAGTTGTAGAAAAGTTGGTTATAATCTTCATGACAAGATTCAAAGAAAACAGAAAAATGTGTACAGCCACAAATCAGCTTATACACACAAATAAAGGTCAGATCTTACTAGAGTGCATATTATGATTTAAAACTACTTTACGAAATTAGTTTTATGTAGCTTGCAAAGACAGCAAAGCCATTAGCAATGTACAAATAATAGATAAATACGCAATACGTGTCGTGTAATTTACAATAAAGTTTAAATCCACACTAACGGAAGAATACCAAATTTAAATGGAAACTACTTTCCAAACAAACGTTAGACTGAAGAGGACATGTGAAATGTCGAAACTAATTTCCATTTAAATTTGGTATTATTAGGTTGAATTTAAACTTCATTGTAAATGTTACTATTATAGTTGACTAAGTCATTTTCAAATCATTGTTACAGTTCCTTCAACCAGCAGCGTGTTTGTTCATTAAATTAACTTTACGTTATTGCTGTAGTAATCACACCATGTTATCCTTCTTCCAACGTTTATATGCAAATCATTGTTACAGTTCCTTCAACCAGCAGCGTGTTTGTTCATTAAATTAACTTTACGTTATTGCTGTAGTAATCACACCATGTT